AAAATCAAGGCCACGTTAAGGAGCCGCAAGAGAACTAGAGTTATTGAGAATTGGGAGGAAGACTCTCTTGTGGTTAGTTATACCTAGCAAAAAACAAAAATATTTGTGATCGTTGGAGGTCAATCATCTCCGCTCCTGAACATCTCTGCAGGAGTTCTGTATGGCAGTGTCCTCAACTGAACCATCTTCAGCTGCTCCATCAATAATCTTCCCTCCATCAAATGTCTGAAGTGGGAATGTTGGCTGTTGATGTGCGCAATGTTCAGCACCATTCCCGACTCTTCAGAATCTGAAGTAATCCATGTTCAAGTGCAGGAAGACATACAATGTTTTCAGTTTTGTGTTGACAAACAGAAAGTAACATTTGTGACACACAAGATCCAGGCAATGCCTATTTCCAACAAGACAGAATCTAACCTCAACTTTTGACTTTTGTTAGCATTACCATCACTGAATCTTCCACTATCAACATCCCTCAGAGTTACCCTTGACCAGAAACTGAATAAGTACTATGGCCATAAGTGCTGGTCAGAGGCTAGGAATGCTGCAGTGCATAACTCACCTCATGACCAAGGCCTGTTCACCATCTACAAGGTACAAATCAACAATATGTTGGAGTACTCTCAACTAGCTGGATGAGTGCAGGTCCAACAACACTCAAAGCTTGAAGGACAAAGTAAATGACTTGATTGGCACCACCTCCATAAACATTCACTACCTCCACCACTGGCACACAGTAGTAGCAATGTGTACCAACTATAAGATGCACTGCAGAAATTCACCCAGGTTCCTTAGGCAGCACCTTCCAAACCCACAATTACTACCATCTGGAAAGACAAGGGCAATACTTTGAAGTTCTTCACCAAGCTACTCACTATGCTGACTTGGAAATACACCACTGTTCTGTCATTGTTGCTGGATCAAAATCCTGGAACTGCGTTGTGGGTCTACCTACATCAAATAGACTGCAGCAGTTCAAGAAGGTAACTCACTGTGGACAATTAAAAATTGGCCCAGCCAGCGATGCTCATATTTCATGAATGAAGAAAAAAATTCTCTGTTTTCACATCAGCTGAGTTAGCTTTCTTTTTGCACTTCTCCATTTTCTGTATATCCTTTCTATAATGCAGAAACCAGGCAGTCGACCAAACTGCAAAGTCTGCACCTACAGACTGTGTATGGTCTCACACAGCTAATGTGGAGCTAATGTAACATTAACATTTACCCTTCAGAAATATAACCTTCTACAGCAATTAACATGAGAGAAAAACAAAAGAACAAAACATAATTTTGTTTAAAGCACCTGAATAATGGAGTTCCACAAAACAGCACGGGTCCTCTCTCTTGATTATGTGTAGTATCTGCATCTAAAATATTACAACAGCCACTCGAACTATTTCTAGAAAGCTGGAACATCAAAGAAAAATCTGAAAACATTTAAACATTGCTGATAAGGGTCACTGTCATTATCTGCCAGCGTCTCAATCAGAACACGGTTTAAAGGTGAGAAAAGGAAAGTCATAGAGTTGTATGGCACGGAAACAGATGCTTCAGTCCAACTCGTCCATGCTGACCAGATATCCTAAATTAATCTAGTCCCATTTGCCAGCTTTTGGCCCATATTCATCTTAAACCCTTCTTATTCAGTGAAAATAGCCTGAAACAAATGTTCTGGCATTGGCTTCAGTCAGCATCTAAATGCAGGGTGAAATCCTTGTCACTCCACAATTGAGACTGTTAGTTAATCACTATGGACAGATGGTATTAAGTTTACAGCATGTTGAAATAAACTATAATTTGCATCCCATAATGTGTTGATATCACGATTCATCCATCGAATAGTTTGGCCCTGAGAAATGCATGAAATAAATTTAGTTACACCACTTAATTTTAGCACTGGATTCTTACTAAAAGTGTGAAGAGAACTTGTGGTGCATGATTGACCTCACTTTTATTTTTAAACTGTTTCTGATTCTCAAGTTATATGATCAGGAACAGAATTATTGGTCACAAAGCGTTTTCTTTCAATTATGAAATGAGGTTTCATGCATATATTTCAACATTGAAAGTTTTATGTGAAATAATTTTCTTATTTTCACTTTCCTCTCTTTAGCAGAGTGTGCAGACTCTAATTCGTAAAGCAGTAATTCTTCTACCAAAACGCTTTATTTCACAGTGGTTGATCAATGAATAGTAGACTGTAGGTTTGACTTGAAAATACATTAGAAATTTGAAATAAAAACTCCATGTACTTCACAAATGCTACTAGATGTCTTTGTCTGCGCAATTAACCAGCTGTTACAATATGGTGGCCAGACCAATTAATAAGTACAGTGTAATCTTTCATACAATTTGTGGTAAAAGATGCTATAACAGCCATTGTTGCTAGATAATTAGATAGAAGACAACTGGTTTGAAAATGGAAATAACTTCAAGGCTTGATAAATTGATCAGAGATTTTCAATTTTATCAAAACTGCTCATGCATTAAGTGCATTAAGACCATCTTTATGCTTCTCTGTGTAGATTTATTGCCTGGAAAATTTAAAATTGGAAGGGAGAGACATCTAAATGTGAAACATTAACAGTTTAGGAATTCCAAGTTGATCAAAGGCAGTTTACAATTCTGTTCTCTATGCATATTGGTCTGGCAATGACCAGATGTTCTATTGTAATGATTAAGCATGCAAATTCTTACAATGTTTTCATGCAGCTTGTGATATTTTTGATATCAAGTTTATTTTCTCCCTCCAATGTTGGAAACCTGCCCGCAAGATTCTCTTTAATTTGTTGCTGATATGGCTGTTTGTCTGTCTTTGGTTCCTGAATCCAGTAAATGTTTCTGATGGAAGTAAAGCCATTTGTTTAGATTGTTCTGGAAGATGTTTGGCAGCCCAATCCAACTGCTGCTGCTTAGCACACCATGGCCATCAAAGTGAATATATTTGCATTTGAAATAGGCATGGAAGTAGACCTTTCCATCCCTCGCCTCAATAATCGCTGATCTTGTGTTTTCAATTCCATATTCCCACCCACTTCCAGTAGCCATTTCCCTTGACAAACAAGAATCTACCTACCTACCTATTTAATGACCCTACCTCTGCTGTCTTTTGAGGCATAGTGTTCCAAAGTTGCACAGCCTTCTGAAAGAAATAAAAATCGTCATCTTTGTTGACAAAAGTGCTACCCCTAACTTTAAGGCCTGTTCTATGGTTCTGGGCTGACTCGCAACATCTTTTTCCACATACATTTTGTCAAGACCTTTCAGAATCTTATACACTGAAATCAAGTCACCCCTCACTCTTTTAAACTCCAGCGGAAACGAGCTCAGCCTGTCCAATTTATCTTCTTAAGCCAACTCACTCATTCCACATATTAATCCAGTAAACCTCATCTGAGCCACTTCCAATATATTTGCATCTTTTTTAACTAAGGAGATTAAAACTGAAAACACATTCGAGATGTGACCATGCATGCAGTATTCAAGATTTGTGCTTTTGGAATAATTTAGTGTTAAAGTGTAATTATTCCAATTAATTAATTCATATTAGTGATTTTTCAGTATTATTATTATTTGACCGCATTCATGCCTGAGTGTACCCACTTTTGATTTGCTGGGCTCAATCTTGTGTTACAATTGATGGCTCAAACTTGGACATGTTCCTTGAATGCAGAAATTGACCTCTCTACCATTCAATTTCTCAATATTCATTATTCAAGCACATACTGTTACATTCTATATTTGTCAACTTAATTCAGATCTACATCCTTAGTATTCATACCCTCAGTGGTTAAATCATTCCATCTTAATGGCCTCTGTGTCTTGTCAATTGTTCAGAGAAGAGCTTGCTTCACCTTTTTGAAAATAACTTCTTCATGGTTTTGCGCACCTAAGCACCAGCTAATACTACTTAGCTTTGGGAAATAATCAAAAAGAAGAATCATTCATAAAATGGAATCCAAGAATTAAATGGACATTGACTGCTTGGGTACAAGATTGGTTGGAGCACAGAAAGCAGAAAATGGTAGTAAATGATTGCTTTGAAGGAAAGCGTGCAGTGTAGTTCCACAGAATTGGCAAATGACATACTCAAAAATATGACACAGAGGAGTTTGGTAATAGGTTTCAAGGCGACATTACACACTTGTGAAGTAGATATGTCAAATGAAATTTAATGTGTGTGAAGTGATTGGTGTGAAGAATAAAAAGACGTATAAAGTGCTGAAACTTTAAAGGCCAGCACAGGGATTGAGAAAGGATGTATGCAACTTTAAAAGTGAGAATTTTTGGAGGCTGTTAAAAAGGTATATGGATATGATCCTTGGCAATGCTAAGTATGCGGGTAGTTCTTAAAATCAAGGAAATTATTATGCCTCTGCTTAGAAAGTACTGGTTTACCACTAGCTAAGTTTAAACATTGGGTGCCACACTGTAGGAAGGATGTCAAAGCATTCAAGAAGTTGCATAGATTTATTAGAATTGTACAGCAGTTAA